ATTGATGGATACTCAATACCGGTAACAAGATTAAAGCTAATTGTCAGTGCGGTAGTGCTTTTATATATATAAAACGGATACGTTTTCACCGTCAACATGTGTAGTGAACACGAATCGCATGCCCCGCCTACGCATGCATTATTTATAGTGATCCGGAAAATAGTCACGTTGAAGCCGGAAATCGGGAAATAGTTACACTAAAGTGCTTTTCGTGAGTAAATTCACATCATAAATAACATACATAGATGTAACATATAAAGCATGAATGTAATTATTGGCGCATTTTTTTATACAGGAATTACACACTTGACGATTAAATTACTACAAGTTACGCATGTAATTAATTAAATTTCAAAGTTTTGTATGCAGAAATGATAGCCTAAAATTTAATAAATGGATTTTCAGAATATCGTCATTAATTTATGTAAATTATTGCTGACGCAGATACAATGAAGGAACAAGATAAATTAGTAATGTACAAATTAAAAGGAACTAAATTATTTTGCAATTAAACAAATTGTTTAGGAATAACACAATATTCATAAATATAATTTAATGTCAAACGAAGTATATCAATTATTTTTCTAATTATATTTCTCTGAATGGAAACAATAAATACGTCAAATAAATGTATAGAGCATTGGCGCATATGGCGCGAACGTTATCAAATTTTTCTAAAGACCATCGTCCGCTAAATCACGCGTGTTCAGCATGAAACCGTTTAATCGGCGTGACCCGCGCGCGAATTGAAATCATCTAATTTTATATTATAATTGCAAACCGAGCTGACGCGCACGCTAATACCCGGTCGGACTGTGACGGACGAACGTTTGAAATAATTAGGCCCTCATTACGTCGTATCGTATTCTCTAATTGAGCTCGCCCGCACGTGTCGCGAGCTCGCGGGAGCAATGGGGGAGAGGAGAGAGAGAGATAAAAAAGATACATGCGTTCTGGAATGCTACGTGATACCCGGTTGTTGGAAACGGCGTCGTCGGTTAGCGCGTTATAAGTGGCTGCAATGAAATGTAAAATATGCTTGTTAACACGATAACCTCCCCTCCGGGGACTTAAAAACGGGGCGCGAGAGGCGATGAAAGAAAAAGAGAAACGAGAAGTAATTTGTGGGAAGGGAAGAGACGGAGGAGAAGAAGGTAGAGGAGGCAAAGGAAGGGCGGCGCGCGAAAAGGGCAGCGACCGCGCCGGTGAAAGGGTAGGAGATGGAAAGTACGCGGGGAGATTCTCTGCCACTTTTATTAGAAGCCCGTGTACTTTTTTTCCTCGCCCTCTTATATCTACATACGTATCTTCGTGTACATAGCGTGTACTGGTCTCTCCCTTTGTCTTTCGCATCGAAACATTTACTGGGAGATTCAAGAGCTCTTGTACACGTACGACTGCCGTTTGTTGCGTGTTTACAAATGTTTAGTAAGATGTGTTTTCACGGTATCAAAACAGTGGTCGCACTTTCTTGTAATTAGATGCAGAAAGCTTCACGGCTGGAATACATTTTAAAGGTTAATTAATTTTCCGAAACACCACGTTGTTATTATTGCAAAAGTGTAGAAACGTCATGTTTTATTCGTAAATTGATATTTCTTCGTCACTATCGCGTAATTATATTTGAAAATTGTATTATTTTTGGTGGAAAATTATTCAAACCATGTCACGAAAGTGGCACAAAAGGTTAATTTAATCTTCACAGTTATTACACAATTCAATCCTCTATTAACTTATGAATATTTGTGATTACGGAAAGTTTGGTCATGTATAAATCACGCCGTTACATGAATGTTAAATCAATTTTATATAAATCACCGTTAATGTATAAACATTAAATCACATTCTATAATTAAATTCTATTCAAATTGATTAGTTTAAATCGACGACACACAATATCTCGTAAAGATCGGCATAACTTTTCACGACGAAAATACTAACGAATTAAAAGAATGGCCGCCCAATTTGATATATAAAAAAAACCATACATATCGCACGTTACATTCTAAAAAAATTTAAAAATACAACGAAAATGAATCCGCCACGATCAAAAGTCATTCCCGACTACTTTTTTGTTTATGTGAGCATATATCTGTTCTCGCGTATCATATATCGCATATATCGCCACTACATACATATGAATATGCGAACGCTCGTCGACGCGAAAAAGTACGCTCGTAATGTTCGTCGGCGGTGCTAACTGCGGCGCACAATGTGAAATATGACCGGTCGTATCTCTCGCGTAGGTTCGTTTTACATGCAATTACGATTTGTATCGGGAACGTAATTTTCCTGTGAGGGCGAACGAGAAAGATCGGCGCGGCGCGACGATTTTCTCTTCGGTAAAACGGGTGTTATTTCGATAGTCTGCGCACGACGTACCCGTAGGAGTTATACAAGAACGAAATGAAAGTCCTCGGCAAATTCGATTCCTGAAACCGTTCTCTCTCTCTCTTTCTCTCTTTTTGCCTTCGTTCTTTTGTCCTTTCATCCCTATACGTTCCCCGATCTACGTGCGACAGATCCCTTGACATCTTCCACACGTCTGCCATCTTCTCGCGCGCGCACGTAATTCGCTGATATGTGTGAACCGTGTCGCTTGCATCCTATTTTACAGTAATTGGCAACTGGCTTTGCTTGTGCGAGAACACGATACGCCAAATCGGAAGAACGACGCGTATCGATGGTGTTTCCGCTCGGCGGAGCTTGTATCCTGTTAGGGATTGTGCGGCTATCGAGGTATCGATTCAACGGCACAGACGCGTTAAAAGCGGTTTGCGCGAAAAGTCTGCACGTACATCGGCTGTTAAAGCTTCTATGCTTCGAAACATCTCCGTACCTCTTTTATACAAATAAAACTTACAGAATTCTCTTTGTAAAACGTATCAGGAATTCTAAAACTCTTTGGGGAAAAACCGATACTACATCAATTATACCGAAAATCGAATACTAGCTTGATGAAGATTAATAAAACAAGAAATAACATCGCTTTTCCAGCATTCGAAATTTCGTTACCTCCTCGATACAAGAATATATCTAATAGAAGGGGAAATAGGATCGACTCTAGCTTGAAACGCCCGCGAGAATGCAAGTAGAACGATCGATTGTTTACGCGACCAGTTTGAAAGGGGATCAGGTAGACGCCTAACCAGACTTCCGTTCCGCATTATCTTTAACGAGTTACCGGAAAGTTTCTTTAAGAGAACCCTTGGGAAAACTCAAGTGTGGAGAGAGAAAGAGAGAGAAAGGGGAAGATAGAAGGCGACTCGAAAGCGGAGGTGCGTGTCTAGGACGCGAAGAGAGAGCGATAGAGAAGCGAGGATCTTCCTGCAAAGAATATAAACAATGCGTTTTAATTAGAGTCCCTCGCCCCGATGAATGCACAATTGTTGCCCCGTGGGGGCTTTACACTTCGCCCCGACGCCAGCCTCCACGTTTCCATCTCTGCTTCCGGTAGGTAACGCTGCGTGCCGTGTATATCAGATGCCCCTGACGTGGATAAAACTAATTTCTCCCTTCGTCTCGGAAGGGGCGAGCGCGGTTCATTTTTGCTGCATACTAATAGCGCGCGTATTACGGTAGTATCCAATTTCTATTCAACGGACGTTATTCGAGTAAAGTAACATAAATCAGAACCTACTACAGAAAGAATTGTCTCTATAATATATGTGATAACAATCCTGCAATTATTATATGTATATATAAGTCGACGAATAATAATTATTCATGCTAGCCAACGAAGATTATTCATCTCTCTCCTCGGCTATATTATTTTTCAATAGAAAATAATAAAATAATATACCAAAGTATAAAAAAATAAATTGTATATTTTTTTATATCTTTCGTGTACGTCACTTCTTCCCTAAATAAAATTGCAAAATCTCTGGATAGAAAGAAGAATTTTAAAAAACATTTCGAAAAAACAAAAATTAAAAATTTATTATATAAGAATATTTATAGTATCAATTGTGTAATAAATCTTCGACAAAAAAAAAATATATTTTTTATTACACAAAAAGCAACGTATAAAATTACTAGAAATTATGTGAATAATATATACATATTTCAAAACAAACCAACTTTTACGTTTAATATATTGTTATGTAATATACAATTTTTTATGTTTATAAAGATTCATAATTTAAAATCAATTCAATTCTGTTTCTTTTTGGACGTTTTGCTGAAACCTACCAGCGTTATTCGCATGAAAAGGTACGGGAGCGCAACAAAATTTCGCAACAATCGACGATAAACGTGCCTTTTACTTGAACACGTGACAATAATTCCGCTTGGGAGAATCGCGGGATTGTGATTGTCCCCCCGTGCCGCCTTCAAGTCGGCACATGTATGCGTGCGTGAGCCCATAGGACCTGTGACACACGTGACCGGCTTACATAACGCAGCGCCTATTGTAATGCGCAATGACAACATCGTGTGTTAGCCCGGATTCGATGGCGACGGTGTTATGCGGCTGTCCCTCGTCCTATTACAAGTCTCGCTAAAATTTCGGGATAAAACAATTTATTCGAATCAAGATGCGATTTGTATCTTTGGAATCGTTTATTATCGCACCGATATAATGCAATTTAATCTTACATTTTTTTTCCTATTCATCTATTAATCCTAACGAAGAATGCGTTTGATGATCTAGGATTGAAATTAACTTGAATCTTTTCCCAATTTGATAAAATTATAATACAAAAATGTCACATGCCCTCTCTTTAGCATAAAAAAGATTTTAAAAAACGATATTTTTTCTAGACACGATAAAAATATGTATATTTCTTATAATCATAGAGATTATTTAAATAATTTTGCTGGGCATATCTTGATCTTTTTGAGCGTAAAAATCTATTACTGTTTTTGTAAAAAAAAGTGCGATATTGTCAATAATTAATATTATTTTATTATAATGTCGACAAGTTCAGTAACATAAAAAAATATAAAAAAATTAATAAACAATTCCATATAATAACCAAAAATATATAATATTGTTACAGGAATACACACATTATTCAAGCGAAGAGAAACAAACGCGATGGGCATGGAAATCAACACAGAACAGGTATAGAACAAAATGTTCTCCCACTATCGACTTCGAGTTTTCAAAACGGATTATTTTGAACATATTTGATGGCGCGAATAAATTGCACGAGCGAATCGGCAGGTCAATCGCGTAATTATTTTTAATCTCTCGCGCGTATCCCGCGCTTATCGCGCATTTCCGCCGGTACAATATCGTGTTATATACGAACATAATGCCCGGGTTATTATTCTCGCAGGGATCGACGACAATGAGGCATGAAAACTTAACTGGACCATAAAGAGCATGTGCGCGCTGTTTTACGAGTCTCTCTATGTGCGAATCGTCGCGGACTGGTTTTCATGAAGCAACGAACGAACATTCCGCGAGCCAAACGAACGCTATTTCTTCTTCACTTCCGCCACACGGTTAGTGCTAAACCTCAGGAATAGGCGAAACCCGATGCATACGGAAACCTCGTCTTTTTCGCAACAAAACTTTTCGACCAAACCATGCCAAGTGTCGACCGATGATATTAAAAAATGATTTGCTATTTTGGCATCAAAACGATACACGCGATCGTCGCAACGGGTCATCGCTCATGTTATAATATTATGATAACGGCGATATCGTTGCCAGTATAATTTTACGACGTACTGCAACGCGATCATTAAAAATACATATTTCCTATAATGTCTTCTGTGATAATTCTCGGTAACTCAATTATCTAAGAATAGCGCTTTTCTAAACTAACTATCACTATTATAAAAAAGATTCGTCCAAGGGAAATTATTTCCAAATCGGAAATTTAAAAGATTTTGTCTAAATTTTAATTAAATTTCGACGAATTAATTCATTGCCAGATTGATAATTGATACATATTTTTTTTTAATTTCTCATGTCGATGAGATTTTCATTCCCTTATATCAACAAGATCTTGTATAAGAAAACATTGTAAAACAAATATTTATGCCAGCTGTTGTAATATCTTTTTGTCCTACAATTTCACATCTAAACGACACAATGAATTAAGCATTTTAATCAATTTCCTCGCGCAACGACGAAATACTTTATACCTTTTGTCTTTGCCAGTCTCTCTTCGTTGTACTGGCGGATTTCTCAGCCTCTTACGCGAACGGGGGAATTAAATTGTTGCCGCGTTATTGTACATATTGCGCGGCGTTATAGCCTTTGGAATTGGGTCAAACAGTTAACGATCGGTATCCAGGCTACGAGTCAAGCCCACCTACGCGAATGCACAGGCGTCGTTCTATCAACACGAAAGATAATCGCTTTTGGCGAACGATTCCCCTGCCATCGATTACCAATACTTTCCACGTTCCACCGCAGAAAATAATTAACTCTATAAACCACGAGACGTCGAATATTACGAGATTTAATTCAAAAGACGTTCGGCCACACTCTATCTCGTTATAAAAGCCTTGTTCACAAAGGCGGTAAGATTAATTTAATCGTGATATATTGTAAAATTGCATCATTTCTTATCATGCAAGTAATTGCAAATAGTTGTAGACTCGGAAATTCTTTAGCATCGCGCGTGTAAAATTTCATCTCGCAGAGATATTCATTCCTTCGATGATCAATATAAATCTGTATTGACGAGGAAATTTCGTTATTTTCAATTCCCGTTTTTAATACGTTTCAAATCTGCGTAAAATATTACAAAAAAATGTCTCTGTATTATAGATATGATAAATTTACATTCGTCAACGTAACCTCTTTTAAACGATTAGCGATATTTTGCTAAAACGCACAAGTACGTGTCGAGTTGTAATTTCGATTCGACAAAAGGAAATAGCAGAGGTAGAGACAAATCGGACGGTTATCACGATTAGCGGAAGAGGAAGAGGGTCGTGTTATACCCGGGACGTCGACGGTGTCGCGCGACGGCTGCAGAAATTAATATAGATCTCATTTCCTCGGTACGGATATACCGAGCATTGTCTACGTGTTTCCTTGCTCTTCTTCTTAAACCCCTTGTAATTCGACTGTGCGCATTTACTCGCCGTGATTTCACGAGATCAAGAACGGAAAGAGCAATGCGACAATCACACGTATAGTTTAATTAAATCACGCGTATTTAAAATTAATTAATTTAGGTCAAAAATTATGATGTATCGATTAAAAATAGCCAGATACTACACTTTTTAATATTGTGAAATATACTGAACTTATAACATACACGCGATAAAAAAACACATAGCAACGGAAGAAGCAACGGGATACGCGATGCGATTAAATCAGAATCGCAAACGTAGCAACTTTTGATTAACTACTCATCGATTGCACGGAATCGTATGCCGTGCCATACGGGACGCACGATAGGAGGAGAATGCTGATAAGGGTGGTGGTGATGCAAATAAACGCGATAAATAAACGTACGATTAATTAACAACAGAACGCGCGCAGAGCTAGAACGGCCCCGCCGTCCGTGACGCGGTAAATCAGCGGCGACGAGAATATAATAATTGAGAATCGACGCGTGCACACTCGCACCTAATTGATATATCGTCAAGTTTTTGTCGATCGTTGTGATTTATTGTAGATGGTTTCGCGCAGGGAAGGCGCCGCGAATATACCGTATATAATATATCATTCACGACCTCGTTTACGTTAGTAGAATGTATTCGTCTTCATTATTTTTCCCCCGTGTACAGGAAGATAGTATTTTTTTCCGCGGGCTGTAGCAACCACCATCTCGCTTTACAAATCCCTTTTTGTATAAAATTATTTCACGTATAATCTATTACATTCAATATTGACTCTTTACGAGACAAGCGCTTAATTAGTATTTAATAATTGATTCAACGTATATTGCATCTCTCATCTGTCAACAATAATAATTAATGTCAATTAAATCGACGATCAGGCTGTTATAAATGAAATCTCGTTTCAACACCAACGCTTTTGTGTTAATAACCATCTCGTTATTATATCTTTTTTCAGAAATATCTGCGTAAAGCGCCTGTAAAACACATTCAAAAAGTTTAATTGCTGTATTACACACGCGGTACGTCTGAAGGGTGGTAAGGGATTTATTCGTGTACGCGTCTCTTAATACTGGCGATCGCGAAGATACAATTGCACTTGCGAGCAAAATACTGTAAATGCGTCTGGAGTAAGTGCACAACACATGGCGCACAAATATAGATTCCACCACGATAGAGAAGGATAGAGGAAGTGGATATGGCATGAAGCCTGCGTTTTCCACAACCCCCAGGTGCATGAACGGTCCTGCGGCAATGCTGGTGGAAGCAGATGAGGCGGAGGAGTCGGAGGAACCGTGAGAGGCAGCGGGAAAGGAGAAGGGGGGAGGAGAGGAGGATGGTAATATAACGCGAGGAATAGAACTCGGTAGAGACTCGGTTAATTAACGAAACCCACATGGGACAGGCCCGTGCTCTGTCCAGGCTGCCACATCCTCCTCCTCCTCTGCTCTCTTCTCGTTCTCCTCGTCCTCGTGTCTCCTGTGCCCAATCCTCTCGCCATCTCTTCCATCGATGTCATCCCTTCTCCTCGTTACCCTCTCTCGCCCCCTTCTCACTCGAAAATGCGACTATAGGACTGTACGTAAATAACTGCACACCCTTATCCGCCTTTTGCCGAACATATAAGAGCCCCGACGACGGAGGGTAAGCGACGAGGTAGATAAAGTCTCGGCGGTACGGCGGAGAAAGGACCAGCCGCAACAAGGGAGGGAAAGATCTTGTCCGGTCGCGCGCTTAATTAAAGAAATTCTTGTTTACTCCCGGTCGTTTTCGAAACCACGCTCGATCCATTTTACCCTTCGCTCCACGTTATCCAGATATGGAATGCGGATAATTTGTGCTTGACAGAAGTTAGGGGTATCGAACCCGGGGAATTTCTGACCAGTGCTTAGACACGCGATATAACGTGCGCGATATGAGTGCCGGTGACGATCAGAATATGGGTGAAATCAGGAAGTGAAAATGGATAGTATATGCTAAATAGCTTCGACACTCTCTCCCGCCTTCGGAATTTCATTTTGTATAACCGAAATCGTATCGAATTCTAAATATTTCAGCTGAATTTATGAAAACGACAATACTACTGTCTATTATCAGTAAGCTATATCCGATTTAAAGTTATCAAGTGTATAAAGCAATTTTTAATTCTTTCAAAACTCGAAAATAAGCTACAATTATTTTATAAATGCATAGATACAAAATGCAAATCTGATAAATTGCTTTTACATTCGAAAAATTTTTAAATAAAGAAATTATTAATCTATTGCAGAATATATATGAAATTTCATTAAAAAATTTTCAAACAAAATTATATTTTCGAGCAAAGAAAATTATGATTTTCTAAAAGACTTGTAAAATCTCTAGTTTACAGTATACTAAAATGTTAAATTAAATATCAGATAAATACATATCAAAATTTTCCAACTTTTTATATTGTATCTTTAATAAAAGTTAACATTTCAAATATTTATATACTTGAAACAAGCGGCTCTTCAAGAAAAGGAGGATTAAGAGCGATTGCGTTTCTCATTTCTTTCTCTCCGACGTGGATACAATCACTGACTACTTCGCATTTACTTTTCGCGCCCTTGCACGAACGGGATTTAATTCCCCACAGGTCGAATTAAACGAAACGTCAGTGAACCGTCTACGTGACGTTCCACGTGGTCGAGGACGGTGCAGAATTGTTGCCCCGTCCTAGCGATCGCGGGAGAGAGAGAACGAAGGGGAAGAAGCGGCTGTGGATGGGCGCAAAATAAACAGCGAAACATTTGTGCGGGACAGTCGAACGGATAGATGGGCAAACCGACGTCCGTGTGGAACAGGATAGCGTCGCTGCTGTCTGAAAGACGAACGTCCTTCAATTATCCGTACGCAGTACCGCACATATCCGCTGTTGTAACGAGCCCTTCCCGTAAAACATGTCTGCACTAAACGTTTCTCGCGATGCACTAGTTAAATTGCGAGCGTAATATAGATTTGCTCTGCGTAGAGAATAGTCGCTGTGTACTTTTAAATCGTTGTGTTATATAT